AAAAAAAAGTCTTGAAGTTTTTAGTGTGTAGTCCTGGTCTGGATTTGACAGTTTGAGGCATAACACTATAGACTGAATAGATTTGAATTAATGACTTCAGAAATAGATTTTGACTGGAATCTACAAATTTTAATTAGAATCCACTACTGGTAGATTAATTTTTGATTTAAACATGACTTAAAACTACATTAAACCATGTGGTGATGTATCATGGAGGGAAAGTGTTCCTTTGAGTTTATTTTCTGCCTCAGATGAGTTTTTTATGAGGATAAGCATGGCTTGAAGTGCTGTATAGCTAATAAGAAGCATTTGAAACAAAATGGAGCAATCCATTAAGACGTGTGGAACATGTTGCAATACTGCAGAGAAGGGAGAACTTGACCAAGTTCATCTATGTAGGCTATAATGGAAAGGGTCACATTAACTTCAAATCCATGTACGATAGCTATGCTCGTAATTATTCTTTGGGTGTGAAATGAGAGTTTGACACCTCCAGAATGATTAAATGCATGAGGAAAGCACTGTGGTTGTGCTTGCCACTGTTCTACCTACTGCTATTTTGATTGAAAGTTTGCTGTATGCTGTGAAAAGAATTTACATGTGTGGGAGTGTTTCTGACAAATACATGTCTAATTTTGTTTATAATAACAACAAAGACATTACACAAAGGATGATCTCTATCCTAATTATTATTTAGCGATACATATGGTCTTGTAGTAGATCTGTAACTTATAAGAGGAGTTTTGGGTTGCAATTAGACATTGCAATAGTTTCTTTATAGGTGTATTACTCATAGACTGGATGGAACGAATATTCAAGAAATTCAGAGAAAATACTCTTTGCTTTAGCAGGAAATAGCTTGAATCAAAGCTGAGCCTGATTTTTTTCAGTAGCCTTTTTCCTACATACTGTAAGAGTAAATAACTGCTGTAGCACAATTGCCTGTTCCTGGCTATTATTAATGATATTCCTTACAGCAGTAGTGTTCAAGGACCGTGTTTGTGATGTGCTTCCTGTGCAGATATGTGGCACAAAAGAGGTGGATTTACAACTTTAAGCGGGTTTCTTTGTGGGGGGTGGGGTTTTTTTTTAAAGTCTCCTTTATGCTTTGGAGATTGTATGTTTCAGAAAACAGATACTTAGCTGTCATAAACAAACTTCTGCTTGTTTTTCTTTCTACAGGAGATGCTAACAGAGTCCACTCCACTACGTTGCAGGAAGCTCAGCAACCCTGACATCTTTTCATCTGCTGGGAAAACCAAGCTCCATCGTCAGCTAAGTCAAGATGACTGCAAGCTACGAAGAGGTAGTTTGGCAAGTTCTTTGTCAGGTATGCCATTTTGTAAATACCATGTGACAATTCATTAGCATTAAAGATGCAGTATTACTTGTTGGCATAACAGTTGTAATAAAAGATACTGATAAGTTGTTTCTTTAAAACTAGAGGTGACCTCTTGTTGGGAGGGCATACAAAATTTTATGTAAGAGAAAGACGCAAAGAGAAATATTAGTAGAAAGGAGTGAAAAAGAGAGACTGGATTTGGACTGAAATTCTGTATATTGCCCAGAGTCAAAAGTTAGAAGCTAAGACTTAATGTGCAAAGTTAAAATAAAGGAGCGGTGGAACTTTAGGCAACACAGTGATGCATTCTTACATCTTTTACTTTTAAGGTCAGCACTGACTGTAAGCTTGCCTACTTTGCTGTATTGTCTCTTACAGGGAAGCTGACTTTTATGTCAGGTTCAAATTACTATTTGGGGTTTTTTGGTTTCAAAAGCACTGTAGGCATTTGTGATTCAAAGTAAAAATCTTCCGTACTAACTAGATGTTTTTTCAGTTTGTATAAAGTTTCATTTTTTTTTTCTTGTGAGCACAGTCTTCAACCCTGTCAGAGAATTTAGTTCGTCAACTGTAGAACCATGGAGTGAGCATAGTCTAGTAATTAGCCAAAAAATGGAGGACCAAGCTCAGTAGTTTTCTTCTTCAAAGACTTTGTATGTGGGCTAGGGGATGGTTCCACAGTTGTTTAAAGCTGGTATCAAAGTCTGTGATGCTGGCATTAGAACACACAGAGCTGCATGATCAGTCTAGAATGAAATAGCTGATGTGCCTGAATACCACTGTTGTTCTGTAGGGTTAACTTGCAGCCCATTTCCTCCCTAATTAGACTGACTGTTTGCCTATTTGCATGTTAGTGCAAGAACAAGAAGGGTTGGAAACTCTCAAGTGGGAGGGGAAGAGGAAGAGGGTGAAACCACCCGTTTTGGCAGCAGCATGGGCTTGACTTACATGGTTGCGAAAATACATCCAGTCCTGGTCCCTCTGTCCTTTATCAGGGGAAGACAAATATTTTAATGTTTGAGGTGCTAGGTATAATAGAATTAAATAAGCAGTAAGGTATGCACGTTTTATTTTGGCTTGGCCTTGTCTTAATGTTTTATCTGTAATAAGTGGCTTGTTTCTGAAAAATCGAAACATTCATGTTTTGCACTCGTGTAAGTTTGTTCTCTAAGGTAGGTTAATTGCTAGAGGAGAACAGAAGTTTATTAACTACACACCTGTTGGCTGATTACAATGGCCGAAGATAGTACTCTAGTTTGGGTTGGGTTCCCCCAACCTTGAGTAGGAGTAAGCAAAGAAAAGTAAACAGGAGGAAGCAGGAAAACTGGAAAAGTTCTGTTTCTTTTTTAAAAATATTTTTTCTGTTTGGAGATAACATTCTTGTAAATTTTCTGTTCTGAAATGATAATGTTCTCCAGAACTTGTTGCTTCATCTTAAAGACTGTTCAGTCTACTACCGCTTGATTCAGGAAGGGGAAAAGAGCCCCAACAAGATCAGTTTGACCCAACTGGATAAAGAAAATGGAGATGTTTAGATATATATTTTAAATGTGAGTGTTTGGAATGTATGTAGGACTTGAGGCATGGCAGGGAAAGGCTTTAGCTGCAAGCTCCATCCTGAAAATAATTCCACCTTATTTTTGCAACAGGGGCAAGTAAGTTTAAAGAATATAGATGATTGTGCATGCAAACTGGTTGGCTTAGATTCGACTCTCGATAGAATTCTGTCTTCCTGGATTGAGATTTTGTGGAACTAAAAGGAGATGTTGATAACTGTATCTTATGGAGATTTAAGTAATGTTATTCTTGCTCAAGCAGTGGCATTTTGAACTGTTAAATAATTATATGATTTGAATTGCTATTAAGGATGTCTTAGCTAGTGCTTTACTGAGATAAATACAGCAATGTACATTTCTGTAGTTTTAGATCTCTGCAGACAAGAGGAGTCATTGTATTTACACATAATCTTGAAAATGAGCAAACCATGAAAATCATGTCCACAGCTGTAAGCAGCTTGAGTGGAACTGGGAAAAAGGTACTAATATGCTGTGTCTCCGTTTGCTAGCCGAAGTTGAGCCTTCTCATCTCTCATACTTCGACTCATTCTGTTAGTGTGTACTTGGCCCATTGCTTGTAACTTTCACAGAAAATTAACATAAACAAGTTTTTTAAAAAAAAAAAGAAAAAAAAGAAAAAAAGACACCATTCCCTGCCCTCCTGCATTATGGCTAATCGCATTATGTGACAGTCTTCCAAATATTGTAGCTGCTTTTATGTAATGAATGTAATATTTCACATGTAATTCTAAGGTGTAGTTGAATTTGTAAAATAGCTTGCTGCCTCTGAGAAACAAAGTATTTTTCTACAGTATATGTGATTAAAGATGTAGACTTGTTCCTGCTACTTATTGCAACAAATGTCTTAGTCCCCTGTGATTCTTGTTGTAGTACCTGAGCATGTAATAATCTGTTGAATGCAACTGTCGTCACCATGCTTGGAAGCGGGTGTGTGTAATTTAGCCTTGCAGTCCTAATTTTAAGGAAAAGAGGTATTATTCACTCCCATTTTGCAGATGGTGAAACTGAAGTACAGAGGTTGACTGACCAAAGTTACAGAGGAAGTCATCTGGAAGCTAATAATGGAACCCAGATTTACAGACTTTTTCACTTATGTGTTTTTGACCACAAGACTATGTTTCTTCTCTGTTTTTTTTTGGTGAATGACATTGTACATAAAAGGAAACTGTCAAGCTTGATGGAGTCAAACCTACTTTGACTTTGGTTCTTTTTCATTGTGGAAATTTACTGCTTGACATGTTTCAAAAATGAGTGTTATATTGACTAGGAAAATAATGTATTAAGCAGATCCTTTTAAATGATTACTGTATTTCCTGCAGTAAAGTACAATGGTGTGAACTTGTTGAGATAGGAGCTACTCTTCTCACTGTTTGCATATGTAGCATGGGAGATTAGTGTCTACACTAATCAATGAGATACAAGGGAGACTTGGGAAAGCTACAGATTGTTTTGCTTTTAAGATAATATGATATTGCTGAAGAGTGAAATTTTTTTAGATGGAAAATATCCATCAATGGTTCAAAGCAAAACAATGTTTAAACATACACTGTAGTCTGATCACAGCTGCATGAAATCTACTGCTGAATATTCTAATGGTAGGAGAAAGTGGGGAATGTCTAGATGGCTAAGCTATTTAGAAGAGGTAATATTTTACAATTAGGAATGCATTTTTCATAAGAATTTTAAAAATTATACTTAAGAGATTTTCCAACATTAACATTGCCTCTCTGTAGGGCAATAAATTGTTTAATTGGCAGCAAATATTGTTTCCTTTTTAAGCCGTGTAAAGTACAGAAAGGTATAAAGTGGTAGAAGTCTGTTTCTACGAGGTTTTGGATTTACCCATTACCCCATAATGTAAACTAGATTTTTTTGGAAATAGTTATCAAACATAATGAATTCACGGGTAGTGTGCTCTTACAAGTTCTAACATACCAAAACCTTTAAATTGCTTTTTTATTAAATGCTTTTTCTCCACATGCAATATTTGTTTTCAGCATTGTATTTTGAACTTGCAAACTTGTTTAAAAACAAGCTGATAGTATTTTGGTTTTGTTTTTAAAGGAAAACAGCTACTTCCTTTATCAAACAGTGTCCACAGTGGAGTGGGACAGACAATATGGCAGCCACCTGGAGATACCTCAAACCTGGTCCGCATGAGAAATCAGTCCCTAGGACAGTCTGCTCCTTCACTTACTGCTGGTTTGGTGAGTGAGTCTGGGAATACTCATGATGATTTTCTGCTATAAATAAAAAGTGGTGTGATCCTGTGCTTTAGTTTTTACCTTGCTTTCCCTGTTCCTGCTCAGTGAATGCAACATTTTGTTCCTGTGGCTCTTTTAAGGGTAGAGGGTGAATTAGCAGGAGAATATGTTCATCCTGCTTTTGACAAAATGCAGGAAAAGAATGTGTGTGCAGAATAATTTCTTTCTGGGGACACTCCTCAATACCACTTAAGCTGCCTGATACCTGAAAGAAAATATCACTGGAAGTCTAGGGAGATGTAAGCATGGGAACTTGACCATTTAAAACAAGTTTAATTGGGAAACAGCTTTCTGAGTTGCTACCTCTGCCTGTTTCCCTAGAGAATAGCTGGGGAGATGCAGCTGAAAGGGATAAAGTCTAAGGAATTAAAGAGCTGGAACTGACATCTGCTCTTCTGCGTGGTTTGTGTCAAAAGGTTTTGGTAAAGTGAACATATTTGTGAAGAATGTTGCATCTGTTAAATTAGCATTTTTTAAGAAGAGAGTATTCTGTATGAGGGGAAAACTCAAATGGCTATAGTCAAGACTGAATTGCAAACCAAAAGGAACATAGGTTTTATTTGTAGATGTTCCTTATTACCTCTAAATACCTAAAATCACTGAAGTACAAGGAGAAGAAAAATATAAGAGTAGGAAAAAACAGTTATTTGTGAACAGTCATATATGCAACAGAAATTGTTGCTAAATAGTAGACTAAAAGCAAAGCTAGAAGCCTTTTTTGCCAAACTTCCATAGAGTTGCCTATATAACCAGTTTTACTCAAATGACCAAATTTTGGTGTGCACTACTTTATAGGGCTGCAAGTAACTGGGTAAATTTATATATATATTACACTGTAAGACTGTTTAGAAGCAATGACCCTTTAAGAAAAAGGGTGTACCTTGGATATAGCCCTCGGATTGTTAGCCCTTAGAATGTTTGGGGGATCCTAGACAGTTTGGCACCACCAGGCTATGAAAAGAAACTTGAATCTTTAAAGTTCAAAAAGCCACGCTTTTATGTTACCACTAATTTTGATTTCACAATGAAGTATTTGTAGTCTTAGCATTTTCAGACATGCTACCATATTGAAATTCTTCTGATTTGATTTAATTGTATTGTGTCTTAGTTTGGTGCCTGTTCAGTGTTTGCCTTAAATTTCTATTCTTAGCATTGGTTATAATTTGCCTATATCAACAGAAAGGGAAAATGCTCATGTCAATTTGGCATCTAAGTATTTATCTGATGGGGATTAAAAAAAGGTAGTATGTTAAAATTCAGGCCTGTTGTCTAGAGGCAGGCAAATGCCTTGAAGCTTCATAGCTTAAGTTAATGAAAATAACTGTGCTTTAAAACAAAGCATTAGTTCTCAGATAATTAATTTTGAATACTAGTTCATTGCTTAACAACTGTGTACAATTCAGTGAGCTGCCGATGTATTTGTGTTATAATTCTGCATATTAGTAATATGATGTATTTTTGGTGTGTCATGGCAGTGTTTGTGCTGCCTATCAAATGTTCTGATATGAAACGCAATGCCAATAACTTATGCTAAAATAATTTAAAATTCTGTGCTTTCTAATTAAAGCAGAGAAATTCAGCTATAGATCCAGTATTTGTCCCTCTGGTGGCGTTAGGTACTGAAATATATGGTTGCTTTCCTATCTCTGTATACTTTATGGTGGGCTGTATGTTAATTACAGTTGCAGTTAATTAAGCCTAGAAATTAAGAATTTTTATATGAAGTGGGCTTCTAAAGCAATGACTCAAGAGCTGGTCGCAAGGTGAACACCTAATTAAATGCAGTGAGTCCTGGGATCATGGAGCTAGTTACATGTTTGCAGCTGTTTTAATATGCTTGTGGTATTGAAATACGTTTCACAAATTAGAATAGCAAAAGGTCTCTTGCCAGTATAATTAATCTCCTTTGAAGAATAGCTCTATTAAGAGATGAGTAGGTTCAGTAATGCAGAGTGTCATTTTAATATGCCAGCCTTGATTGCTGGAGCATTTAATTCTTTTGTTATTTGTTATAATACAATACACAGATAACTAGAGAGAAGTGGGAGTGTGGTATGGGAAAGCCAGAATACTCAAAGCTGTGTGCGTTGTTTCTGCTCCTTCTTTTTGGCACTGTAGGTATCAGTGGATTTTCCTTTGCTAAATTGCTTTGCTGGCATTCAGTAGCGTGTCTTTTTTACTTTCTAACCACTACTAATCCTACAGATTGTTTGCTGTGCTTAAACTGCATTCATTTCAACTTTGAAAGTATTTGCAAAGCAAAAAGATAAATTAACAATAGCAAATCCATAGAAATAAGTTTGCAGCTTCTGAAATGACTGATAGCTAGGCTACTTATCAGCAATAACTCAAGAACTGGAAATACATCGAATTCTAACATGCTGAACTACATAAGCACAGTTCATTGTTAGACAGACTCTTTCAGCTCGCACGGGTGTGATAATCTGGATTAATGTGTCTGCATAGCAGTTGCCACTAGATCCTTGACTTGAGAAAGAAGCCAAGGCAGACTGAATGCTGAGTGCTGTCATTGTGGAATGATAGATGTTGATCTGATCTGTGTGCCTTCTAAATATATGCAAGGATTTCAGAGGATGACCTTCCAGTTGATCATCTACTCTTAAGATGGATTGCTCTGATCCTAGTAGATTGAATTCTGGTGGGGAGCATCCTGTTTAAGACTTTTAAATCCCTAAGATAGCCAAGGAAGTAATCAGAGAAAAAAGACATAAAGCATCATTGTGGGCATCTCAGTGGTGTTTTGTGCTCTCAAGATCCAAATACAGTAAAAACTGAGGGCTCAGAGAGTGTGTATAAAGTGTGTGTATGAGGAACAGAAGGATAATAATGTGGAAAATCTCTTAGGACTTAGTTTAGGGGTTTGTTTATCTGAAATCTCGACCTGCAGGCACCCTGTCATAAAAAGAGTTATAACTTGGACTGCGTTTTGAAGGCAGCTGATGTGAATAATCAGGAATATGGATGTATTCTCTTATAAAGAAAGGCATGAAGAGCATCAGAGTTTGTTAATCTTGGAAAGGAAAAAGCTTCTCAGGAATATGGATGTATTCTCTTATAAAGAAAGGCATGAAGAGCATCAGGGTTTGTTAATCTTAGAAAGGAAAAAGCTTGTGAAGAGAAGGTTGCGATTGTTGTAGAGGAGTAGAGGATTGGGAGTGTCTTTCTTGCAAATACTTATTTTGACAAAACTGAGTGTGAACAAAATCGATTGCCAGAAGCAATGCTCTAAGGTGTTAATATTCCAGGGTTGGAGCATTTATGGGTGGGCAAAGGATGATTTTCCCCTCATGTTTATTGTTAAGGACAGGTTGCTCAACTGGAGCACTACACTAATGCTGAATACGTATTTGCATTTGTGGAGAGGGATGTGGCGTTTTTTGTGTGTGTCTCACCCCCCCGTAGAGAGCATCTCCAGCACTGTCTCCAGCATTTTGTGAAAGAAACATCTGACATTGTGGTACCCATTAATTAGGACTACATCTTACCTGCATTGCTCACTACCTAATGCCCGGAAAAGTTTGAGATGTTCCAAGAGTAAGAAACCATGCATGTTCCTTTTGCCAGCTGTGGTGATTGGAAAACAATTGTAGAAGCCTGTCAGTGGAAAATTACATACTTTTGTGAAAGAGATTTTGAACCTTTAGGTTTGGGGGGTTTTTTTGGTTTGGGTTTTTTTTTTTTTTTTGTAATACTTACAAACTTCAGTTTTCTAAAGTGTTCCCAGTACTGAACTGGAACTCGCTGTACTCCTTGAACTGAAAAAAATGAACATAATTTTTGAAAATTAGGTTGAGGATTCTAGCCGGGTGGTTGCAGTTCTCTCTTTAGTGTAAACTTTCTTCCTTATATTCTGTGCCACATGGTACGTGGTCAGAGCCATTTCTTCATCTTCAGAGATGAATTCTGCTGACTAAGCAGTTGGTGCTCTGTTAATCCTCTGATGCCAGACTTGCAAGATTTCCTTGTAGGGTCAGTCTCCTCTTCAGAGAATAATTTCAAATGACTTACGGTTTTACGTTTACTTTGTAAGGTAATGGTGAAAACAAAATGAGACAATTGTGTATTCTTTGCTGTTGTAGAGAGTGCCAGGTACTTCACCTTTCCCTGGTCTTGTTCTAGAAGTGGTTAAAAAAAAAAAAGCTTCTCAGGTTCTGAATAATGATCTGGAAGGCTCAAATGTGAAGACTTGAAATTACTAACAAGCTGAAGAACTTCCTGTGTTGAATAACACTAAGTCAGTGACGCTGCCTGTTCAGCCTGATTTATTCTGAACGTTTAGTTCCCCAAAGCTGTGCGGATTAGGCAATACCGAGTGGAATGGGGAAAATGGTCGTCCTTGTGACCGTGGGTCCTTGGCTCAGCAAGGAAGCGTGTATTGGAAACACAGTAACTGAGACAGACTTCACACTGTGGCATGTTGTCTTTGATGTCAATGGGGTGTGCTTTTTAGATATAGGAGAGAACATTTACTGCTGATTTTCTAAATTTTTACTCCTTTGCTTTTTTACTTAGTTTTAGATACATCAGCAATAGAATCATTTGTACCTAATATATATACTTCCTGTAATAGTGTATTTCCCCTGCGCGGGTTGCTCTTTCCACTCTTCATTACAAAAGGATGTATTTCAAATCTGTATCATTCCTGGCTACCAGGAAGAGTGGCTAGTTGGCTACAGGTTTGGGTTTGTGGGTGAGACAACTTAGGTAATTCCCTTTAAATTCATGTAGAAAGCTAAATCCAACTGCAAGTTTTTATAAAGCCTGCTGAGGCATTTGTGGTGCTGGTCGGCCATCTGCTGGTGGGCCTGTGGCAATTGACAGGAATAATAGAAGATCCAAGTAAGTTTTTTGTAAAACATTTTTAGAGATTTCCGGTAATTGTTAGTGATTTTACAGCACAGGCATGTTTTTCCTGGGATCGT